GTCAAGAGCTGGCATTGCTGACGATTCAAGCGAGGGTGGCCCTGTGGCTAGTCTCGTGCCTAAATCGTAATTCAACGACACCCATTTCCATACCGAACCCTTTTTTGACATGTTTACTCACGAAAACAAGGTGGGGACTGCAGTCTTTGCTAAAATTTTCCAATATAAACAACCCAAACCCAATCCAGGTCAAATCTATGGCATTTGGACCCAAAACTAACCCTCCGAGACTGATATTTGGATTTAGATTAGGACGAACCCTAGCCCATTGGCTTCCCTAGTAACATGCACCAACAAAGAGACACAACGAAGGTGAGCAATCACACACTCTCTTCCACACAAACATATATTGTCAAAGAGCTCTCTCACTCTCTCGCTCACGTACTAAAAATGCACCCACAAATCGAGAGAGAACACATACTGAAAATGTAAGCCGCTACTATCTCTACTACAAACATTTATATCGTCATTCGAGCTTTATCCAAACAATTTAAGATCAGCTACATGTATCATGTTCAACCATTCTATCCTATAAAAGGTCATATAATCAATAAGACTAACATCACTTATCAATTTTATTTATTTATCCTACAAACATTTTCCTTTGCTAAAATGCCGACAGGGCACGACCCTACGCGCCTTTTGGCTGGTCATGTTTTCAAGGGGGAAAAAAGTTGTGCTTTATCTGTGGTGTTCCAAGTTTCAACAAGGAGTGGTGTACTTTTTCTATTTTTTTGCACTCTAACCAATAATGTACGGTTAATATTGTTATTATAATAATAGGGAAGGGTAAGTGATTCTTGTGCAATTTCCCCGAATGCGACGTTATGAATGCTGTGACGTCCGGATTTGGAACATGCACCTAACACTCACAACTCGACTCTCACTACAGCTTTCACCTTTCTCCATTTCACATTCCACATTCAAAGTCAGCAAATATTATCTTTCTAAAAGACCCGTGACCCCATGACCAAAGGAACATTTCTTAGTAATATTTGTAATAAAAATGACAGATTTCTTTATTTTCTCTTTGTAAAATATTACCACTTTAAACAGTTTAATTAAGGTGCACCTCCAAACTTAGCAATGCGATGCAATTTTAGTGTCGGAAATTTTTAAGTTGGTACGAGAGTCTATTTTTATCTCGAATTGTAAAATTCGAAAGCTCAAAAAAGGTTCAAATCAAGCACTTCTATAAATTTTTTAAAATAGATGTTCCAGATAATTTATTGCTAGATGTACTGCTTGCTTTTATAGGATTTGAAATCTCCTTTTTTAGCTATAGAAACAGTTTATATAGACCTAAGGCTCTAAACAATCAAATTACAGCCCACATAAAAAAATTCAGTAGAAGGTGATGTTTTAATGCCCAAATATCCTAAAATTGATCATCTCAACATCAAGATGCATGGACATGAGAAAAAAATGGATTTCAAGTTTTTGAAATAACGCATCTTATAATGCATTTTTTTACCATCAATTTTCGACGTTTTCAAGTTTTCATAGATCTGTTTGATCTACACTATTTTTTAAGCTTTAAATTTTATAATTATATATAAAAATATATTTTAAAACTATCACGAAGATTTCCAGTATTGAAACCATAGTTCTCGATACTATTTGAAAGTGCGTTTTACTTTTATTATTTAGAGCCTCGACTCTATACAAACCGCACCCTTCATCTATATCTATATATCTCGGTATCAAATCTCCTTTTTTATCTATATCTATATAGCTCAATATCAAGATGACCAATTAGATATTTTTTCCAACATCAAAACGATCATTTTTGAATAATTTTAGAGGTGTACTTTAAT